ATTAAGTGTTTTGTTAGACAATTCATGACTGTCAGTCTCAGACATAATCTCAGAAAATATTGAACATATGCTTATCTTTGCTTTTCATTAAGTTATTTGCACTTAATTTTACAGGTCTATAGGTCTGGCTACCTTCTGTAAATATGTATGAGTTCCCTTTAGTACTGAACTGCATAACCCACTTAATTAAAATATGAAAACCAGGAATTCTCTTTTAGCTACTAAAATAATTTTCTCTATATCACACTGGAAAGCTGCATAAGCTCTTGTTGTGGTATAAAATCTGTGAAATAATTTTTATTATTATTTGCAACAATTATTTAGGAGTTATAAAATTTCTGCAATTTTTAAATGAACTATGGTTCTAACATCTCAGGAATTACTTTTGTTATCAAATAAACTAGGAAGTTTTGACCTAAAATCAGGCCAAAAAGTAGTTATTAATTGATCTGACTTGTATAATCTTTTTCTACATGTTTGAATTTTTCTCTGGAGACACAGTGAGTTGTCATGACAATTTTTTTCTGTATTCCATATCACTTGCTCCCAGGATATTGCTAGTCTTTGGATACTTTTTCTCCTATACCCTACAGTGATCAGGAATTCTCTGGGTGGTCCTCTCCTTCACATCCCCTCTCTGCCTCAGAGAATATTATACTTCTTATAGATATGAACTCTTCATCTGAACAACAACAACAACGTGGTCTTTTTCAAGGCATTAGTAGTTCTAATTTATCTTATATTTGGAAAACTGACAACTTAGAAGATACACTCTTCTTCAGAGATCTTCTCCAATGTTTATACTGAATTACACTAAATTCCCTGATTAGGGAAAATAAACTTTTAATACATAGAGCCCAAATACAGAATTATCACATCTTTTTAGATCTGCAGGGACTTGTTATTTTCCACATTACAGATTATTCCTTTCAAACTCTGTTCCAGAGTATACTTTTATTTTACCTCTCTATGCTAGTGTTTCATAATTACTACTTTTAGGAGATTTCCAGATTTACTCAGTTTACAGACTGATGTAGGGATCATCTGTTGTGGCTCATAATTTAAGAGCTGAGCCTAGATATTTCTTTGATATACAATGTTAATAGCATTTCCATAAGTCAATTTTTGATTTGGGAACCTGCATCTAACAGTCCAGTTTTCAGAGGTATAGCATATGAGTCATCACACATAGGAAGATGCATCCTGTGCTAATGAGATTATAGAACAACCGGGGGGAAAAAAAAAGTCAGAAGAAGCAGTAGGTGTTTGTCTGAATAATGAAAAGGAGAACCTTAATATTTTCAATATATTCTTGCCTTCAACATTTAGAAGTAAATGGCCAAATTCTAAACAGGATTAGGGTTTTTTTAGCTGTATTAGTGCACTTTGGACATATGAATTGCAACTATTTAAGAATTTTACTAATAACACACAATCCAAAATGAAACCCTGCACATCTAACCTGACAAGGGAGTCAGAGTACAAGGAGGCAGCAAGAAGCTGGTATGAACAAATGAAAAAGTACAGCTAAGAGTACTTAAAAAGTACTTAAAAAGTGTACTAAAAGTACATCAATTGTCCTCAGTGTTCAGTCCCCATCTTATTGTATTAACTGTTTAACATAGAGTTGTCCCTCCAACTTTATCACTACAGAACTTAGGGGGAAAATTACAAAGCCATGTGCAGATGTATGAGCTGCTAAATACAATTGTGCTGACTGACCCATTTATGCAGTATGACACTAACTCCTCAAATAACCTGGTAAATAAATCAGCAGCAACCTCAGTACATATGTGACTTATAAGAAAATGATATGAAATGTATATAGGGGCTGGAGCGCCCATATTTGATACAGAGATATATAGATAGAAGAAGAGCAAGTATTTTCCTTTTAGAAGATTAATTATCTTCCTTTCTATTAAGCAATCTCAGTAGTTCCTTTTTCATGTTTATTTATTGCCTGTTCAGATGCTACTCCCCAGGACTAATACTGGCAGAACTAAAAATGAAAACTCCATGTAATCTGATGGGGAAAGGGAAAAATAGCGTGAATCCCACTGTGAGCAAAATGAGATGTAGAACAAGAACTGACCCTCCTTGTTTTCACAGTTCCCTATCTGGTCATGTGTGAAACACCTGCAACAAACTGGCAGCTCAGCTGGCATCAGTGGGGAAAGCTTCCAAGTGACATTGCAGTTCACTACACACAGGACTGGTGTATAAACTGCCCCTGAGAGGAGCACAGCTGGAGAGACATGGGAACAGAAGCAGGGGGCCAGAATTCTGCTTCAGTTTCCACAGCAGCACAGGATGCTGCTCTCAGCCACCTGTCCAGGTGTATTTTTCTTTCATATGTGAGGAAGGGAGGAGGTTAATATTTACTGAATTTGGGGTAGGAGTTGTCAGCACAGCTGCAGATTTAAGAGGTTACATGTGCAGGGAAATCCTTCCACCGCTGGCTGGGATTTGCAGCCCTCTCTTCCCTACTCATTAGGGAATAGTACTCTTTCCTTCATTGATCTAAGGACAGGAGGCAGAAACTGAACAACAGCTTTCCGGTTTTGGCTCATTCTAAATCCTTTGACACTCTCCACCTCCTTCTCCTTTTGCACTTATCTTTACATTTACTGATGAGATGTTCTCACTTGTGATTGACCTACAAACTCTTGCCAAATAATAGTTTGAACTGGAAGTGTGGATTTCCAAAGGACTAATGCTCAAGACCAATATTTTTAGTATGTTTTTCCTGAGCCCAACCCCTCAGGTTTCCATATCTCTCTGCAGTTTTCATTCCTGCAAACAGCTTAAGAATTAGGTAAATGTTTGTCAGCTGGGAAATGGCAGACACTGGCCTAATACCTGACCAGTCCTTGCTGGCCCCTTACTGAGATGAAACTGGTTGTGCAAGTGTCCTTCATGATTTTCCACCATGGGCATCATTCCTAAAAAAACCCCTAAACTAGGGGTATTTTGAGTAGTTAGCAGTTCAAACTAAAAATTTCAACTATTTTATTTGTTCTTTTCAGTCAAACATCAATAAGACATCTCTTTCCTGAAATGGAAAAAGCCTTCATTTCTACAAATACTGATTGTTTTCATTCTTGTTTTGTATTGGTCAAATAAGTAGCTTTGTGATTTATTTTTCTCACTAGATTTTTTTTTAATTGTTTTTGTTGTTTAAATTTTGGGAATAACATGTAAGTAAATTTAAAATGAGATCCCACAGCTGATACTGCATTGAAGTTCTTGGGCAATGCTATGCTTGAGAAAAATCTGGCCCCTGGCAGGATTTCAGGACTAGATGAACTTTTGCTCTGGAACAATAGGGCCTTGTGTACCTAAGTTTTACCTGATCATATAGAAAAATTTCTTGATTAACAGATGAAATTCATATATTATCTGCCTTGTTTCTCAGTAAAGGGACGGATTTTAATACAAAAAGAGATTACACTCATAGAGAGTCTATGATCTACTGATAATAACAGAGGAAGCTATTTTTATGAGTTTTAACTTCCATTTCTAGGCCATAATTCACTATGTCTTGTTAAGTGACATTGGACTGAGCCTCTGTGGAAATGTCAGTGTGCTCTATTTAATGGACTGTGCATTTCACAGCGCTAAATAGTCTTGTTGTTACTGGTTTGGAGGGGAAAAAATGAAAGGACTCTGGTCAGCAACTTCTTCCAGGTCAGTGTGAGAAGACAGCTGGAAAGGGTATGTGTAATGTAAGACATAATGGTTTTAAACTCTGAATTTTTAAATGGGGCCTTGTTTATGAGGTTATGAGTGGAGATACCTATAGTTTGATGGGTCTATAGCTTAATATATGAATTAAGTTTGGTCTGTTTTGTACTGGCTGTATTTTCATAAGGCATTACAAACTTACAACAAGCACATTTCTTTTGCATTCTTTATAGATGGGCAGCAACAGATGCAACACTAACACTGAGAGTGGTGTGAAGCCATGGCACCAAGAAGTGATGAGGGAGTGTTTCCCCCAAGGAAGCTCTGGGGGGAGAGAGGCTACACCTTGCCCTATTAACTTTGCTTCTGATGGGACAATAAAATTTGCATGGAATGGAAATTAAATCAGCCCACACCCCTGTAAATCAGATCCCTTTGTTTCAAGGGTTACAGGCTGATAACTGCAGCTAAGCACCAGGCTTGGGCTCACAAAGGTGTCCTGCTCAGTCTACCCCTGTCACAAATCCTGTACAATCCCCTGTAATGTAGATATTAGCATCTGAGGTAGAGGAAGTTTGCAGGTTGTTTTTTTTTCTTTTTTCTTTTTTTTTTTTTTCTCCATGTGAATTCCTCAAAAAGAATTTCAGTTTTTAAATGCCACAGAAATAGCCGAGTTCTGTCTCTCTACTGCTGTAGCATGTGATGAGATCCTCCTGCTCCCTGACTTAAACCTTTAGCTTCCCTTGGGGAGCTGCAGGTGACTGGACCTTTATTATTCTCAAAGAGAAAGCTGAGGGGCTGATCTAGATGGCAGGGGAAAGCACAGTGCACACTGTCACTGCTCTCTGTGCCTCAGGCTCAGAGCTGTGACACCTGTGGTTGCCAGTGTTACTCCAAGGCAACTTATCCAATGGCTTCATTCCAGTAGTGCTGAAGTGTATGGGTTCTATATTTTCAACAATACCCAAGAGTGTGAGTAAATGAGGCAAAGCAAGAACAGCTGGGGTTACTACTCAGATGCAAAATATAAAGTGTTCAGTAGTAAAAATTACACATTATAAATGTCAATTTGCTATTACTTCTGTATATTTTATGTGAATGCAGACCTGTTTCTAACACTATTCATACTGTTTGTTGCAGTATGCTGAAGGCACTAGCAATTTTGCACTGTAAAATCCTTAGAGCAAGATAAATAGTCAGTGTTTTTAAGCTGAGCATTTAGGGCTTTTATGAAGTGCTCCAACTTATTGAAAGTTTTCTGGGAAAAAAACTCTTTAATGTCAAAGAGATACAGAGCTGAGCCTAGTGTTTATGTGTATATAGCTCCACTTCTATTTCTTCCCCATCAGACTAGAATAATGACTCATTATAATAGGTTATTTCTACATGATTCATTAAATAGTACAGTGTAATTGCCCTTTAAAATTTCTAAACTTTCTAGTTTAACAAATTCTTTCTGTAGCAAGTATAACCCAATTTCACTTAACATTGAACAGCAGCCTCTTAGAGTCTCCGTCTCAACAAATCAGGTTATGAATTACGAGGCCATCTTCTCAGATTGTCTCCTAAGACACAACCAAGGTTACTGGGGTTTTTTAAACATTTCAAATAGAAAAAACTGAGGTCTAATTTAGTTCAATACAAATCTACTGTGATGTAAGTGACAAAAAAATCCAGTGAAAATTAGTCTAAATATTGTAAACCATCAGAGGAGAAAAAAACCTGTACATTTCACTAAAATCGTTCAGAGATGACAACATTTATCCAGGTGGCAGAAGACCTATTTCACACTATGTTCTGTAGAGCAGATCTATTCTACAGTCCCCCGCTTCACAATTGAGCAAGTTAATCAGTACACTGTAGGATATTCTGAGAAATGTTTCCCTCATCCCTGCTAGTTGGAACCACTGTACCAAGGTAGATAATTAGATATTATAAACTTATCACAGCCAAGAACAAGAGTGGAAGAATAAGATGCCTTGTGGCAAGGGGTCCTGAGGAAGTGGGTAACAAGAATTCAGTCATCTGAATAGATCTAACAGAGACATGTTTTTCTTTCATACCTGACCTGATTTGACAGACTCCACCCAGATTAAAAGGCAGCATTTTGAAGAAAAGCAAAACCACAGATTTTATTTTACAGCTTGCTCTGTGAAAAGAAAAAAAAAAAATCGCCCTCTTCTACAGAAGTACTAATGCTTCATGTCCAGAAATCCTCATTGCCATTTGTAGTTTGCAGCTGGTTTATTGGGCCTGCTTTGTGTTTCTGGCATCCTGCTATTCTGGTACTTCTGCCCTGAGATTAGCACGACGAAAATTGGGCATGGCTGAGGGGCACTATGCTCCCATGTTTGTGCCCAGAACTGCTGGTTTATCCGTAACAGTGCTCTGGGAGTGATTTCAGTGTCTCCAGTCTGTCTTCACTTTTTCCCTCTTTGTGCTTTATTCACCTCCCATCTATCTGCAGCTTGCTATTTCTCTCCTCATAGCCACCTGTTCACATAATCTTTCCCATAGCCAATTCCTGACCTGTGGGCTGTTCAAAATGCCAGGAATAAACATAGCATTGCAGCTTGCCAGGAACCATGACTGGGAAAAAGTCTGGCTCTCAGAGATCCCGGATGTATTACCCACTCTCTGCACTCTCTTTTACAGAATTTTTATTAATATGGAACTTCCTACAGAATTATAGTGGAATTATCATGTAAAATGTTATCATGTACAATCGTGTTTTATAGATCCAACCTGCTTAGACGACACACAAATCACACTGCAACATGCTATGGCAACACCACCATGCAAAACATAGGGGTTTTTGTTTCAAACACTGGGATAGTTTCCTTTGTGGCTGTTTATTTACTTTTAGTGTCCTTTACTGACTTTGTCCCATTGAATCCAAATTTCTTCCTGATTACAGTGGATTCAAAGCATATTACAGGAAGCCTTTACCTATAAGAAAGTAGTTAAAGAATTACTGTTCTGTTTTAAAATGTGAGGTATTCCCACAGCCTCAAAAAACTTTGTTCTTTCACTATGTTTATTTATCTTTTTTTTTTTTTTTTTTTTTTTTTTTTTTTTTTTTTTTTTTTTTTGATTACTGGAAATTACTTTTGTATTTTTTTAAATACTTGAGGCAATACTCTTAAGCCCCATTACATAGGAGGCAGTTTTTGAGAACTGCTTCTTCTTCCCTAGAAACTAAAAAACAAAAACCATGATCTTTGCTGAAAGCTCTCATAATTTTCATTTCAATGCACACAGCTCCATTAACCAGGTCACAGAAAAAGCCACAGACACACACACACACACACACACAGCAGCGTCACCTGCACAATTCAACAGACAATGCAGACAAACTTGAGTATAATCCAAGATCTTTCTACCTCTTTTCATAACAGGTTAGTGCTCGCCCTCAGTGTTGGTGTACAGTTTTTATGGCATGGGAAAATTGGGATGTTTCTGCCCTACAAAAATAAATGCGTTGAATTCTTTAGTTTGAACTTTCACAATGCAAAAAAAAAAAAAAAATTCCAAAGAAACTGGATTAGTAAAAAGAATCCCAAATATCAGGAAATCAGTGGATCTTTTGGCAGGTGGCAAAAGAATGCCCACATTAAAACTACCAGCCTCCTTTTTTTTTTTTTTTTTAATAAATTCAAGAAATAGCTTTCAAAAATTACATATTGAAAAGAAAAAATCAGTTCTTTTAATCCATTATGAAAATAATCCAAATCAAACCCTCACACATCAACAGAATGAATCCTTTGGTCCTGCAGAAGCTGTGCTAGATTTTAAGGAAGATGGGGAAATTATTATTGTTTATTTTTCCCTGTGCCAAATCAAAAAAAAAAGGGCCAAAGTAATTTTTAGTAAAATAAAAAGAAGACAGGATGGAAATCCAATGTATTCAAGTGTTTTAGACTCAGTGTTTTGGGAGGCACCAGAAAAAGAAACAACATCAAGCAGGTTTTCACAGATTCTTTACTAAAACTAAAGCAAAAAAAAAAAAAAGTGACTAATTTCATGCTTCCTAATGCAAAAAGCATGGCTCCCAAAGGTCCATTCCTCCACGTGTAACTATTGAGATCACTGGGAAAGGGACTAGGAGGATGAATTGTAATGAAAGCAGATTATAAAGCTGTCATTCCCAGGAAAATCCACAAACTGTGATGAATATACTTTTAACTGTCAGGTTAGAGAAGCAAAAAGGGAAAGTAGGGATCAGCGAGGGAAAGGGGAGAAGGATGTCCCATCAGGCTTACTAGTCTTCCGAGGCAACAAACTTACCACATTGCGTGTGAATTTCTCAAAAGATGTTCGACGATCCAGAGTGTTTTCCAACTTAAATTTAAAATAAATAAAACAAAAGAAACAAAAAGAAAAAGGAGGGGAAAAAGAAAAGCGAGAAAAATGGAGTAGAAAAGAAGGATTGATGAAACAATGGACTGCAAAACAAAGTTTGTATAAATCAGGAAGCAAACACAGGTATGAGGCTGTAATGGGACTCGGCAAAACAGTGGATGGGCAAAGCAGATAAAGTACTTGACAAAAATAATTTTTCATGGGGATAAAACTTCATGGTTTGAATTTAAAGAAAAACTGAAAATAAAAAGAAATAATGAAGTGCACATCTTGTGTTAATGAACTGACATTCACAAACTTAAGGACTTCACACAGACAGTTGAAGCTTTCTGGTTTTTTCAACATCTCTCTCTATATTGGATCTTCAGAAATCAATGTTTGAACAAAAAACAAAATCACACAGTACTTTCATATAATTTTAGGTTGTCATTGTAAACAATAGAATGCTATGGTATTAACAACTACCTTGTTCCGGTAACAATCAGGGCCCTGATTTTGCAAGGCACAGGGCTCCAAGCTGATTCTAGGAGATTACTATTCAAAGCCCACTGAAAAAATTATTTATTATTATAGAAATCTGCAATGCACAAGCTGCTTCACATACTCTGGGCTGTGGCTATTCAAAACTCATTCCATAATCTGAACTTTTCTAAGTAAATATTACATACCAAGACATGAGCTTCTGTTTGCCGAAGTGTGACATGATCAGTCTTTCAAGTCAGATTCCTAGCCTACTCAAAACTATTCATGTAATAATAGGGAAAGAAACAAAATTAGGAAGCCCCTATATTTGTAGTTGAAATTAGAAGTAATCCATAAGAATAAGATTGTTTCTAAACACATTCTGTAGCTTTTATAGGTGGAATAAAGAGAACAACAATTATTACATAAGCAAACTTGCAAACATGAAAGACTATTCTTCTGGGATTTTATTTTATTTTTTTTAATGTATTTGTAAAGCACTTTGCAATTTAAGGTGCTTCATAACAGAGAAAACAGTACAATATGGGATGTAAAAATAAAAATAAGTTTTGCTAGATTAACTTATTGAAACATGCCCGCATGCAGGATATATACACATATATGTATATTGAGCTCCTGTGTGTATGTGACCCTCCAAACACGCCAAGCTGGTCACCTACCAGATATCCAGTTGCACTGGCACAGGGGAGAGAAGACTGAGTATTGTTGCAAACATAACCACTGCTTTGCACAGTGGCAAGACAAAGGCAAGATGGACCAATACCTTTTTCTTGGCCTGTAGCAGCTCCTGGTAGGCACTGGATCGTATAAAACGAGGATAAGAATCACTTTTCATCAGTTTGTAAATGTGCTCCTGAAAAGGAAAGGAGGAGCTGTTACTCCCATGAAAGAAGACGTGTAAAATGGGAGGCAGTCATATGTTTTGGTTGTAGAATGTATACCAGCTTGCATTGTTATGAATAGAAAGTATTATGGGATATCAGGTTTCAGTTCTGAAGCTAAGGCTGAATTGCTTTCTATTCTGAAAGCAGAAATTCCACCCATTTGTTTTGTATAAATCCCACAGCACAACTTTCTTTAATTTATAGATCAAATTTTCACTATGAAATTATTTTATAAGAATTTAAAACTAAGCCCTAGCTTAAGGTCCATTTCAAACCTTCCTTGCATTAGTCAGTTTAGCTAAGTGACTAAATAAGGAGCTGTGGATCCTTCCTCATCAGATTTTCTGAATTAGTTTCTGGACATTCTCTTGTGACTTCACAGGCAGGAGGAGAAACTCAATTCAGCATCATAATTAAGTGTTTAAGTTAGTGAGGATATCCCCTGGCTACTCTTGAAAACATCCTTTGACAGACATTTAGTCTGCTTCCCAGATAACAATATAAAAAGGAAAATGCATATGTAAATTAAAAACCAGTTCTAGGCTAATCTATTTTTCAAGTTGTTCATTCTTCAGAGGGGCATGAAAAATTGGAAAGCTTTATTTAGAAAACAAATGACAGAGGCAGCTTGTAGCTTTTCGTTTCAGAGCATTCTCATTTCTGAAAAAGATTAAAACCAAAAAATCTATGATGTAGGACGCTTGATAATTCTAGTCCTAGTTTGTATTAAAGAAAAGATTTGTAGAAGAGCAATCAGAATAGGAAGTGCTCTCAAAATAATTTTAAAAAATCCACTGAATTGTGCTGGCTATTTTTGTGGAGCTTTTCATTTATTCAAACTCTAGTTTTTACAATAGGAAACACATAGCTCAGCAATTGGGAAATGGCAAAGAAACTGTAAAGTAAATATTGTTTCTAGGCTTGGTAGTGCATAAAATTAGAAAATACAAAAAACAAACAACAAAAAACAACAAACAAACAAAAAAAAACCCAAACAAAACCCAACCAAAAAAAAAAAAAAAGAAAAAAGGAAAACAAACACCTCAACTTCTTTGAAAATTACTTTTTTTTGTATTAAATACTCTAGAAATGATTCTAAGTGTCTTTCATTGTATTTCTTACACTAAGCAGAGAAATTCTGGTGTATATTCAGAACTTAGGCTGGTTTATTTAGGGAGGTTTTATTCCACTCCTTATGGAAGCAAACAGTGCAGTCAACAGAGAGCAGACAGTGGTGATGAGCATTAAAATGTTCTTTCTTTACAAGAAACAGTCCTGTAAAAATTTTAGTATTGTTTAGTATTGTTAATGTACACATTAGTCAGGAACTGAGGCTGGATATTATTTAAGACAATCAGACTATTTTTACCTATGTGTCACTCTCATTTGACATGGAGTTTTATCGTTCCATATTTCAAGCCCAGAAATGCTTTTCATACATTTTTAACCACAATTAAATGACCTTCTGGCTGCCAGAATGACATATAAGTGGTCTCTTTCCCAGCTGCCAGGCCGCAAAGAGCATGTTGCAGAGGCAGAGCCCTATCCTGACAAAACCCTGCCACCTCAGGTGGGTCACTCTGTAGAGCTCCTAAAGCTTCACGTGAGAACATGGCAGGTGCAACCTGCACCCTTTTCCAAGAGAATGGCTTCCAGGTTTGATTTTTATTTGCTGAACTGGAGGAATTAAGTAGAGATCTGAGGGGAGGAAAAGTCCTGCTTACGTAAAAACTGGGTACTTCACATCTTTCATAAATGAAGGAAAAAATTATGAGAAGGGAGATCTGGAAATTGGTGCTGAAATTTTACACCTAGTAAAAAAAAATAAATTGGATACTGGCAAGGAATTTAATTGTCCTTCAGTGACTCAACTGCAAAGACATTTTTTTTAAGCCTTTAATCTTGCTAGATTGTTTATTTGTGTAATTTATGTCTTCTCTATATGCTGCATTCTTAAACCTCCAGGGGTTAGCACATGCAAGTAAAAGTTGTGTGTTTTGTTTAATGCAAAATGCTTCAAAACAGTGGGTATGACAAAGTGTCTAATGAAAATTGTTTCTTCATAGGTTGCTATCCTCTTAATGGAAAAGTGAAAATGTGGTAGAATTAGACCTCCTCATATTCAGGGCAGAGGCATGCTCCTGAAAGCAGAAAGCCTCAATTTAATTCCCTTTTCTCCTTTGTGGGGCCTGAAGCAGCATCTCCTGACTCCCAAGAGGATGACCTAATAATCAAGCTGTAGGAAATTCTCTAGGGATGTGATTTCAATCTCTCCTTTTGACACCATTTCACTTTGCATTAATAATTAAATTTTCATCACTGGGCTGCTGATGAAAATAGAGGATGATACCAGTTCTCCTACTTTTACTGTGAATCCAATTCTTTTCTATTGCTTTTCTCAGAAGTCTGCAAAGACGAAATAATAAGTTATAAGTTCACGAGGCATTGCATTTAATACAGAAGTACTTCATTTTTTCTTCACTGTATGTTTTGCTCTATTTGAAGGTCATCTGAAGACTCTATATCAAGCACAGAAGTTTCATGAAGAACTTCATACACCTCATGAAAGAAAGAATGTCGCTCATTTGCATTGCCAAAATGACACTGTAGAAAACAAGCTGTTATCATTTAATTCCCAAATATATCTCATTTTTTTAATATAGAAATACTTCACTAGCCAATATTCAATTGACAATTTCAAATGTCCCTAAACAGGATTGCAAACTGACCTGAGCATCCTCAAACGTGTATCTTCCAGGGTCCTTCACATTCTGAGTGGTTTTGTCATAACTTTTTGAATCTAGGTTGATAGCGCTGGGTGCACCCGGAGCAAGAAATTCTTGCCAGATTTCTTGGACGCGAGCAGGGACTTCACGGATAGGCCTCTTCTTCAGGTCTTCTACTGCTAACCAGAACCTATGGCACAACACAGCATCTTCACTTCCAATTCAGGAAAGTCATTTAGGAAGTGCTCACAATCTTCCTTGTTCTTAAAAAAGGAAATTAAGTAGTTGAAGTTTTCATCTAAAACACGCTAAAAAAAGGAAAAAGCTGTGATTTTGTGTTGGGATCAGCATTCTGTCTCAAGGCAACCAATGCACCATAGCAAGAAATTATTAGAAGACTCTTCATGAGATGAATAGGAAATCCTTTGTTACTTACGTATGGGTAACTTGCTTACAAGGAGATTTCCATTTAACTGGAATTAAACTGAGATTTCATTTTGGCTGAACTGCAAGGGCTTATACTGCTTATAAACTACTTTTTGAAATTCCTTCAAAAACTAATAACTTATATTCTTGATATCTACATGAATCTCTCAGTCCTACTAAATTCTAAACTGTACAACTAATTTTGTTACAAATTTTTGTTACACAAATCATGCATGAACTGGGAAAGCACTTTTTTTCTCATTATAATTTAATTTCTCCCCTTAGCATTGCATTTCTATGCATATTTTTGCTAAAAATGCTGAATGGAAGCTCATATTCTCTTTTCTGCTCCTAAGCAAACCAACATCGGGCAACTACATACAGTGCAGGCTGATTCATTGTATCCTTCTCATACATTCTGGAGAAGGATCACTAAAAAGGTCTTGAACACTTTGTGATCATAGCTAGCTAGCTATAACTTTTATTTCATTATTTCTTCTATGGGTGTTCAGAGACTCTCTCACTGCACAAAATAATTCTAAATGCATTCAGTATCCCATGCTTAGGCACTGTACAGACCGCTTAGTTCTCCCCCACAGCCAAGAGCTCAATGAAATTTTGACTTCGTTAAACATGCAATATATACCATCACAACTTTGTATTATTGTTCTGACACAGTTGATCCTATGAAACAGATAAGCTGAACCTTGAAATGATTTAATTGTGAAATCAGTTGATCTTACAAGGCTTACAAATAAATTTGGTGCACTTTCAAAACGTGGTTCCACCCTGCTCACACTGTGAGATCAAACTGAGATGTCTCAGCTGAGTTCAACAGGGATAGGATAGAAGAGAGGAACAGTGAAACTGTATTCAGACCCCACAAGAAAGCAAAATGATACCACCCTCAATTCAATTTCTAATACAGTTATTTCAACAACTCTTAAGAGAGAATAGTAAAGCGTAGAAAACTTTACAGTATTCCTACCATAAGACATTCTTCAACTGAGATAATTTACCTTTCAGGAAGCAACTATTCCTTCACAGTCCTGTTTTGAAACATCTTTATAGCACAGGTGGAAGGAGCCCATCTTAGTTTTGCAGAATCCATTATGGTCAGCTTTAGTCTACCAAGATGACTATTTTAGGTATTTCTATACCCTTCAATTTCTCCATCTAAGACTCTCCAAGAGAGAGAGAAGAAATATTGTCCCAGTTTTGCAAATATATTAATAATATGATAATATAAAGTGGTTTCTCCAATGTCACAAAGGGAGTTTTCTGCCAATAGAACTCCAGTTTCAAAAATTCTGGGTAGCATCACTTATATATATGAACTGCAATGTGAATTGAACACAGTCCTCATAGAGCCTGGGGACATATCATTGGAATCTTATGGCAATGCAGTAAGAATAGAGGCCTCATAACTCAAGTTTAAAAACTGCGTAGCTCACAAATTCTAATTCTGTTCACTCTGCCAAATTTGGGCAACCTACTTTGGCTTCCTTAAGCTGCTTTCGATATTTGCATTTAAAAGCATATATCCTGCAGTGCTAACCCCTTCAAGTGCATCTTCTGGGACTGACTGATTCCTTATGTGTCTTGAAGTCAGGTAAGGAACAGAAAAATGAAAGGGAAGGATGCTCATTGTAAATACACATTTTCTACCACCCTGCAGACATCCTGAGGATCTAGCTCAAAGATGTGACTTCCTTGTTTGTTCCATTGCATCACTGCCACTACTTCTGGAAGTCACAAACATGCCTTAGGATGCTATTTTTCTTTGCAAGTAAGCTGTTTCCATGTAGTAGGTTATACTCAATTATGGGGAAATCGATGGAAGATAAATTCAAATAAATTTAACTTCTTTGCTTCCAGCATAAAATAGGCAGGTTGTATAGACACATCCTTACAGAGTAAACACTGGTTCTTTGATAGATTAATTTTATTTTACACTTTTAGCAAATGTTACCCTATTAAAAATGTTAGGTTTAAAATATAGACACCTCTCTAAAAGTGGGAAGAAAATGCTGATTTCTGTGTTATGTTATGTCTAGGGTGCTTACTTCACAGTCAAAATACATTTTAAGATTTTAATCTACTTACTCATCTTTTAAGAAAAGTTGCCTGCCCTCCTCCCAAAAAGAGTTTAATTCAATCATTCAAAGTTAGGAAATGTCAAAAATAAGGTTACCTCCTCTTGTATTTTCAAAAATCCCTTTTCCAATCATCCCATGGCATTCACAGATGAAGCTGACATGGAATCTACAAAACCGCAGCTCAGGGCCTCAAATCAAAAGAGCTCCCTGTCCCTTTTTACAGCTCATAGCCTCGTGAACTGTGACAAGAGCAAGGGATGACTCCTGTAGCAAACAGCACACAGTCCACAACAATAAAAATGTGCAAGGGCAGGACATAGGAGAGGGGGGACTGCATTTTCTGGACATTGATTTAGTGCTACTTTATGTAAAGAACTAGAGCTCAGTATGGCTGCCATTGGATTAAACTGTATCTCCTGTTGGTGGAGGTTTGCTTTTGCCATGGAGACTCTCTAGAAGATGCTCAGTACTATTGGAGCAGAGACCTGACTAGGTGAGTGTAAACCTCACTCCTGTTTTCTGTCCCAGCATTTGGGCTGCCACACTCTGGGGCACACACCTGACACACAACTAAATGAGTGTATAATATATGATAGTAGTAGATCCAGCCATATGAACTGGTAAAACACATGTTGCATGGGGATTATGTCCTCCAGCTGGATTACTTTTAAAGTGACGGTGGCCTTGGAGGTAAATTGCACAGCTACAACACTGCTTCTGCCTATTAACTGACCTAAATGTCAGTTGCAGCCAACAGCAGATCAAACTAATCAGTTAAATTTAGCAGATAGGGACATAGAGTGAGAGAAAGGCTACGGTGATTCTCTGTGGAATGTGTGAGATATAGTCAGAGTGCGGTAACAGTGAAGTGAGAACTATGCGGGCTTTGTACCCAGTGCATGTGATACAACAGGTTGGAGGACAGACCTTTCCACATTTTCAGCAAAAGAAAAAGAAAATAAAACCTTAACAAACTCTATGAAGAAAATATTTTTCCAGGGGCAGGAAACACTACTCCCTGATTACTAGAGTCCACCTTCTTGCCAGGTACAACTTCAAGCTTCAAGATATAGTAGAGCTGAAGGATTTCAAGAAAATGACACAGAATAATTATTAAATATTGCAACTAGTTCCTTCTCTTCTAATCTGCAGAAATGGCAACATTGCTGGGACTTAACATTTAAGCTTGAGTCTGAATGAGAAATAATACACAGGTGATTTCAGCTTTGAGGAATAAATTTTGATGAAGCTATTACCACCCAAAACAAAGCCTTGTAATCAGTAGCATAAAGGATACAAATCACTAGTGCCCATACTGTGTAGGAAAGTGTCATCACCAGCACTTCTGCTCAGACTTGCAGGACAGACATCAAGGACAGTTAGTCAATTTTCATTCATACTTTGTAACATGCAGGACTCACTCCTCCACCATCAGTGGAGAGAAATTTGCATTTGAAGTCATAAAGAGCAGTGATCAGTAATAAAGAACCAAAAAAAAAATGAAACAGATTGAATTAAAAAGAAGCCTTAACCTCTTGCAGCATTGTCCCTTTTCCCTAGTAAGAGTACTGTAACGGTATGTTAAAAGAACAACCAGAACCACTGAAGTAAATGAAAATGAAGCTTAATAATTGAAACAGTTTGTAGGCAATACTGTAAATTTTTAGAAGTGTATGTGTGGGTTTCTATTTATTTGTTCTATAGAACATAACTGAAGCCCCTATCTCCAGTACAGAACATTTCTACAACAAGTTAAACGGATGAGTCCAAAATAAACATCTCACAAAATCTCAGCTTGCATAGGGGTGCTCAAAGAAAATTTATTGAGGGAAAACATCTAAGTGTAGCTAACTCCTCGGTTCCTCTCTTCTTTTTCTGGACAATGAGAATGCAAAGTCCCTTTTCTCTGTTAAGTCACACATTATGGAAGCTAATAAATGAGGATCAAAGGAAGGGGCAAGGGGTCTGGTGGCTTTTCCTTCCGTGCATGATGGAAGATATCTTGTCACCATTCTCCCTTCACTAAGCCAGGAGGTTTTTGCAGTCTTAGTGCTGCCTTGGTTATCACACCCACTGCAATACTACATAGTGATTTGGACAGGTTGGCAGGCCTGAAACAATTTAGATTGTTTGTGGGGTTTTTTAAAAAAGGCTGTAATTTTTACAAAATAACACTTGGGAGCAAATGTACAGTCAGCATACAAATATTAACTTTCCAAAGAATTCTGCTGCATTACAGGCAAAGGAAAGGAATAAAATTTCCCACAGGGATGAAAGAAATTAGGTCTCCAGATGCCATGTTGCAGTAAGATTGATTTCAGTACCTCGCTCTGTTTGGAAGTTGTATTTTTAGTGCTCAGACAGCCCTGTGACCCATGATCCAGTACTACTGGATCATGCTCAAACTTTAGTCTTTTGAATTTTAAACAATGGTCACATTTTTGAAATAGGCAGTGGGAATTTCATAAATCTATTATCCAAATCATATGTTACTTTAGCTATTTGTGCTGTGTATTGAGCAGCACACAAAGCAATTCTTCCAAAAAATCTGCATAGTAATGAGATCACAAGTCATAGGCTGCAGAATCTAAACTGGATGTTAGCAAACTGCAGTCTTTATTGAAGTTAATGCAATGACAGAACTGCTCACACAGTTACTAAGCTTTATAACACTCCTTTAGAGAGTAAAATACTGTTAATCCCAATTTACAGGCAAAGAAAAAAGCACAGAGATACAAAATAAGAAAGTGAAACCTAGCTGTGCTCCTAATCATTGCACACTTCTTAGTTTTAACTCATTGCTCGTTTCCTCATCCCTGTTCTGTTTCTTAAGATAGGGTCTATATCCACCAAGAACAAGATTTTCAGACAATTTAGACTCTCTCAGTCCAGGTTAATGAAATAGTAACACTGGGACTTTTAGCTAAGATAATCACACCTGAATAGAAATGGTGTATCTGGTAGACCTATCACTTCACATTTTTTGTATTTCTTTCACCAAAATGAAGAATAAGACACCTAATCTACTAATCCTGAAGCTCCTGTCGTGCAGTCCCTGCTGTATCCTGTGTACTGTGCTCAGAAGCTTGAATCCAGGGTCCCTGCTGTCTAGCCAACTGTAGATTTGACAATGTTCGTTGTGAATTTTATCATGATAAGATCTGTAAAAGGACAAGAGCCAGCTACTGAGTTCAATTAGTTGCAGTGGGAAGATGTGGGTGGAAATAAATATTTTTCTCCAGGTGGCTGTCAAAAAACTAATAATAATTAAAAAATAACACTAAAAGAAACCCAAATTGCCATGTTGGAGTTAACAGAAAGTGGTGGTCTTTTAAGATTTATTCAGTGTAATGCTTGAAATCATCAAGCATTTAATTTCTTTTATTGGGATCTAAAATATTTTGACAGCCATTACAAAACAAGCTTTAAAAATTCATGTTTTCTAATCCAACTTTGCTGTTTGAACCTAATAGTGGACTGATTTTACTACAGTTTGAGCACTTACAAGCATAATTCTGATCTTGTGAGACAGTTTTCCTTTAGCTAATTGTCACAGAAAGCACTTTTTTTAGAGCAAATTTTATCCCCTGATTGGCCTTTAAGCTCACCATTACTCTGATATTATATTTTCTAATTCTAATATAAGAATCTGAAGGGAGAGATAGAAGAGTAGATGGCATGTCAAAGAATCAGCTCTAAACAAATTTCTTGAGGGATTTTTTTTCTGGATCAGTCACTTGCAGTTTGCCTGTGGTTAGTGTTGTAAGTAGGATTAGATGAAAGAGTTAAGGATTATGCGGGTAACAGTACAGTTGGCAGAGAGACAAATTAATCACAGAAAAGCACCAGAAACTGCAGCACACACTGGGCTCAATAGGTTCTTGTTTAAACAGCTGCTCTGCATAACAAATTACCAGGATACTCTTTAAATAATACAAAAAAAATTACCTTTTGTTTTCTTGGTATTATTCTGATTTTTAAAAAATCACTTTACCAGTTGGACTTTTATTTAAAAAGAAATATCTATGTATCTGTGACTAATGAAGTCATCAACATGCACTAACAGGTCAGGCCATATTTGTGATGCAAAATAATGTTTGAATATGAACATGGTCAGCAACTTAGAGAAGTCCGTCTTTAATTATTCTGCTGACAAATTTAAATTGACAATAAGCAGATCTGTGCAAATACTCAGTATTTACAGATCAACACCAGAAATGTTGAATGCCTCTAGTAAGATGCTACAAAGTTGTAATTCTAGTATGAATGGCTATGCTGCACCACTTCAGAGTGAGAACTGACAAAGAAAAAAAGTAGTTTAGGATTCTTCTGAGTTCTAGAATGTAAACGCAAAGAAGATTTTATGCTACTTATGTTATTGGTAAATGGAAAGTGAAATGATATCTGACAAGAAGGTGGAATAAAGAGAAAAATATATTGTCTATACTTTTGTACTATGTACAGCTTCTTATCTATAGAAAGGTTGTTATTAATCCTTCTGAAATAACTCTTTCTGAAATATGACTTTCCTAGAACTGTGACAACAAAACATGTTATTAGCCAATGGTTGAACCACTGTATTTTAAAATCAAATAATTATTCTTCTCACTTAAAAGTAAATCTGTAAATATACTTTTTTTTAAAAAAGCACTATACACTTTATACACTAAGAACACGTTTCCATTTTGTAATTAGTGAGGAATTTGAGAGCTAGATGTCACCCTACTTTCTATTGTGTCAGATCCACAAGTACTGGAATATTGGTGGAGATTTTAAAAATGATGCCCAGGAACCTGACCAAAAGTGAAAGTCTGTGCATTTTACTTTTAAATTCTTTATTTATGTTTCAACTTTTTTATTTTCACTTTACTTTTCTCATAATATTTGACAATAAAAGATGGTGAACAGGCTTTGAATGGGTCAATGCTTTAAAACTGTTTAATAAGACAAGTTGAGAGAAACCTCTTACATGGGGAGTTTGACCCAAAATTGGACAGGAATGGAAAAGTATACTTCATGGGAGTCTCAGTTAACTATATGAATATTTTCCTCAACCTGTATATGAAAGCAATCTGTATGAATGGATTCTGAATGGTAAAGCACAGGAAAAGTTTTCAAGGCACAGGAAAATTTCATTAAAAAAATGAAGAGAAATGTATTGGGAAAACAAACAAACAAACAACAAACAACAGCAACAAAAAAATATATCTTACAGCCTATTTAAAAAAGAATGGCTCTTGTTTACCTTAAATTTTCTGAACTGAATTCTGACTCCAAGAATTTCAGAAACTGCTCTCTTCCCACAGGGTCTTTCAAAGCTTCATCCATGCCAAACCCCCATCGTTTCACCCTCTGCTGTCCTGGCTCTTTGCTACAGAAGAAAAAAACAACAGAACCCAAAGTGAATGATACTTTAGTGTTCTAGTACTCCGTGTTCATAATTTAGACTAAGTACTGAAGTTCAACCACAGGTTTCTCACTTTCTAGTTTGCTCATATCTGTGAAATGTTCAGAGATGAGCAAACAAACTGCTAGTCCTTACACAGGATGAAGGTAATACACATGCATTTGCACAAAAGAGTAAAGACTTCCAACTAGAAATGCTATCAGATTTTAAAAGGTGTCTTTTTTTTCACCATACTGGAATCCTGTAAACTGGTTAATGTAACATTTTACACAGATTTATTAATCCAAAGCACTTCCCATCTTATAAAACTAAAGCTGGAAAGACCAGGAGGATACTGCATTGTCCTTCTACCTCAGTATTTTCCTGCAATACCTCTGTCTGAAATCTTCACATTTCCAGTAAGCATATTCCATCCCCTTACTTCCAAAGAATAAATAAAATTATATACCTTGCCTCCATTTCCCAGAAAGTGGTGTCATCTGATATCCAAGGGTTTGATGGATCAGGGGGCACAAGAAAAGGATCATATTCCAAATACTGCTCTGTATAAGCTAATAGACTAGGAAAACAAAAGCATCAAACATTTTCATGTCAGGAGGTGTGGTAACCTGATCAGGTTACCCCAGTTAACAAGTAACCTTGCATCAACTGAACTATGGAAACCGTGTGTGCACACACTCAGAAGTTAGCTACAGGCTCAGGGTAAAATAGTTTTGCTAAAGTCTTTCAAAAGTGGCTCTCTGAAGAAGGAGGGATGGCGCAGGTCTATCTAGAGCTGAAATAAAAAACTTCCCTAATACTTCCACATAGCTCCTTTTAGGGTGTTAATTAGACACTAAGGAATTAAATCAAGCAACCTCTTCCATGCAGATTTATTTTCATCAATGAATGTGTTTTATACCCCCATGGCTTTAATTATCAGTTCCTTTAAAATCTGTTACAAAACACTGAATGTTATGTAGCTCATATTTACGGGCCCTTTACCTGCTAGGGCTTCTTTTATCCTCTCTTAAATACAATTAATATTTTTATTATTTCCTAATCCAATGGCACCTCTTCCAAGTTTATTGTTTTCAAAAAAAACCAGATTTTTTTTTTCTGAATTATTTTGGTATTCATTAATGGGTCTGAGTCTGTTAAACACACTAAAAACTTTGCTTGCATTCTCATAATTTACATCTCCCATGTCCTTATTCCCGTTTTCTGTTTCCTTTGGCCTCGTAATTTTATGACAAGTGAGGACAACTATTCTTTCTTTTCATTTCAATTTGTATTGTATTTGGTCTGCATTCTGTTTTTTATGGCTCAGCAAGCAAAAATACTTAACCCGCTCTCTTTATAAAAAAATATGTATTTGTATATTTATGCATACATACACATATATATAAGTAGACACGTATGCACAAATGTATATGAGAGAATGAAGAACAATTTGTATTTGGCTTAGTTTGCTTTACTAAGCCTTAGGCAGCTCAATTTTCTGCAATTCTCACTATTTCTGTATTTAATGTGTAAGATAGAACATTTGTTTTCTCCACCTCTGCTCTACTTAAGCTGTAATTAGTCTTTCCAAGGGACTTTTCCTTTTATTTGACAAAATAAATTTGCCAAATTTTGGTCCTATCTGGACAAAGATTCCTGATGGTGTAGGAATCCTCTGACCCAAAGTAAGCTCAGGCTCACTTTGTTCAAGCTGTGACTAAGCTCTTCACCAATCAGTTCCCTTGCTTTATGAGTGACTGCCCTTTTGAAATAGCAAAACAATAACCCCAGACCTATTTCCATTTAGCCTCCCTGTCAATGCAAGATGAAACTTGTGATCACTTGGTCAGAGGCTCTTTCAGTGACTACTGGGTTTATGAGAAATGTATCACAGAATATCTGGGCCATCTTTTATTAGTAAAAGAACTTCATACCTCCCCACTTAAAGTAAACTCTCATCAGTTATTTCTATGATGTCTGAGCTCCCATGTCTCTCTTTGAAGAGCTATTTGCTCTGAAAAGCTCTTTGAAGCTATTTCATACTGACATTTTCCCAGTGATTATCAGTCTAATTGAAAAACCAGAAAATGTGACAATATACGTACCTCTCTGCAACTTTTGACATTTTTAATCTATGTCTGTCTAACTGCATTTGCCAGTGCTTAATCTGCAAGAAAGGAAGGCAAAGAGTTTTATGGGTAATTTATTGCTTGAATCTATTTCTATAACTTTTTTTATTAGGGCTGTAATTGAACCTTAATTTATCCTAGGGCATAGAAGAGAAACATATCAGAATTGAAACAACATTTCACCAGTGTAGTTCTAAAATAAATGGAATGTTCCATTAAAGAGAAAAGACAAAAAATGTGCCCAATAAAATATTTTCCCTAAAGGTTCATCAAAAGAAATCCAATTAGCAGTTTGGTTTTTTTTTTGATTTTTTGAAGAGAGCTACTTATTCTTCAGATATTTACCTTCTCTGAATTCTAACATCTGAGGAAAGACTAACAAAGCTCTAACAGCAGATAAATGCGTGAACCTATATATGCATACATGGAGAGGTAAGTATACCCCCAAAACTCAAATTAGTCTTGAAAGGAAGAGCGTCTACCGCTGATGGGGCTAATGGGCTTAGCTATACAAAGAACCCACTCACTGGCCTGATGCTCACTGCCTTTAGATGTTTAATGCGAGATACCAAAAATGTCAAATTTTTTCAAATTAATTTTAATGAAGTTACATGCCTAAATCTATAAATCTTGAAACAAAGAAAAGGTTTATTGAATGTTTCCTAGAGCTGTTTTGAACAACTTCCCAGTTACAATAATTTTTGGTTTAATACCTACTTTCCTAGAAAGTTCATTTAAAAGTACATGTTTGTAGTTATGTTTCAAACCTCTTGGTGTAGTTCATCTTCTGTGGGTGGCTTAGTCTCTGGTACTGGTGTGTGGGTAGGGCTGTGACTTCGAATGTCATTTTGTAAGCCATAGACAGACTGTGCAAAAAATAGGGAACAGTGATAGTTGCTTTCCGACAATGCTTTCTACAAATATTCATAGTAACTGTCATGCTTTAGTAAAGTGTGCTCAAGAAGTTACCCAACATCATCTTCTTTTAAAGAAACTGCAATAAACCATGCACTCAGGTAGAATTGTGCATCTATAGCAAGGTGTAAGATAAATACTCCCAAACTCCCACAACTTCATAATGCCATGGAACAAAGGATCTACTTTTATTATATCTCTATATTAATAGCATAGCAAGCACAGGGGATGACCCTGAGAGATGCTATTACAGTAAGTGGAGATGACTCGTTGTAGGAGTACCCTGAAAGGTAGACAATTGTACGGATTATTTGGATGACTTAAATTTGCAGCTACTGCCTGGTAGATTACAATAATCTATACCTTTCACTACCATATATAAGCCAAGCTAGAACTTTCTCTGAATCCACTTTCCTTTTTAAAACAAACTTTTCTATGAGTAAACATGAAAATGTACCTCAAAAGAAGTACTTTCACGTGGGAGTCAATCTACATTATTATGGGACAAAGGATTTAAAGAGAAAGTTTTGAGATGATCCATCTATATATCCCTAGAGAAGTTACACTGTTCATGTCTGGATCCTAATTTAGATGAAACTAATTTTCTCCACTATTTCTGGTCAACCATTTTGGGCATAACTGTCAAAGAGAGACACGCTTTTCATTAAAAGCAGGACAAGAACTAGTGTTAGAGTTTATGCTGAAGTTTTAATTTATTTTTCCTTAATTTCTGACAGAAACATTTTAACATGCTTTATTCAATCTGCTAAACAACATGAATGAAGCATGCAAAAATTAATTTTATTTTCCAAATCTCTGTATATTTCTCCAAAGTCTTACATGATAGCATTTACTTAGCATTAACAAATTTGTTAATACTAACTCAACTAAGAGCTTATGAAATATTAACTTATGTTGATGCATTTGCTCCTTGCAGTTGTAAAAAAAAAAAAAAAAAAAAAAGCTTTACGAAACTATGGAACTTTATGCTATAAATTACCTCCAACTCCTGCTTTTGATATAAAACAGTACTTACCTTTCTTGTTTTATGTGGATTTCTCATTCTTGAAGATTTTTTTATATCCACCTCAGTAGTGTTTACACATCCAGGCTATTAAAAGAAAAAGAAATAAAAGCAGAAGACTAAACCTGTGAAGGAACTCCATATAATTTTCAGTGAGATACTCCTCTTTAGTGTGTGAGACTAAAAAAATAAATAAACAGAGATATATAATAACTTGATGTCTTTTTGCAGTGGTCCTTCTTAGAGTCCCTATGGAATGAGACACTGAAGACAACACAAATTTGATATAAACTAAATTATCAAGATAAGAGAACCCAATCACATGTTTCTGTTTCGGTTTTGCCAAGGAAGCCATACATTGCATTCCAGATATCCGTCTAAGAAGCACGGTTGACCTCATTAGACAAAATAAACAGAATTGTGCAATACCCACCTCACCCGTAAACCTCAGGTTCCCTTCAGGAGCATATGATTTTGGGTCAATTTTTAAAGATGATCTTCTTTTTAAAGAAAATGGGGGGGAAAGTACCAAAATGGCATTTTTTTCTTCAGAAAAGAAAGGAAAAAAAAACCAAACCCAAAAAAAAAAAAAAAACCAAAAAAACCAAACACAAAAACAAACAGGCTTCTGCAGCCTAACCAGAAGACTGGCAGTCTAAATAAAATGTCTCTCAACACACCTGATTCGGCTTTCAGAGATTCATTCTCAAACTCTGTGGCATCCCATAGTACACAAGTCCCGTAGTTTCTCCTTCCTTTGAAACTTCCCCTTAAGTGCAAAATCTGTGCATAAATCTGTTCTTCATGCATTGCTGGAAATAACTGATAATGTGTTTTACTCTCAGGTGAGTTTTTCCTATTGATTTTAGAAGGATTACATTTGAGACTTAGAGCAGAAAGTACAGGTTTTTAGTGGTTAGTAGGTTGCTGACTTTTTTTAATGGGAGTACCAAGATATCAAATTTACTTGCCCAACAACCTAGCTAGACTTATTATCACACTAATGATACAACCTCTGTCATCTCATCATAATGTAAAATGCTTGATGTGGCTGTAAATCTTCACAGGCAAAATTTTAAAAGTTTCTTATATAGACAGAGCTAAGAAACAAATAGATTTCATTAAACAGAGCAATGGCACTTTGCCTTTGGAAAATATTCTAAACAGACTTGGGTTTTTTTAACTGAGCATTTTTTTAAATTAATAAGTTTTTATTTTAAAGTAATTAATGTGCATTTGATCATATTAAATTTTAAGTATAAACAGTTCCTCGTGGCTAAGATTAAAAATAAGCACTTAGATAATACTCTCAAGACTGCATCTGACACTCCTATTAAGCTACATTTGTGACGGTATCCTTTGTGCTCCTGAATGAAAATGGGAGTCTTTAACTCGGAGTAACTCGCAACTCTCAAAGAAAAAGACAGGTTGAAAAATAGAAAATTCTGCCTGATGGTCAATTTAAAGGCAGAAAGCAATTCCCCAGGGCAGTATACTGAGATATAAAGTTTTAAAAAAACACAATGAATCTACTTTAGGATTACAGCAGCAGCTGGCAGTGAAGAAGAAGGGCTTTAACAACATCTACAGCCTTTGAATGTAACAACTTGAATAGCAGGCACACTTACATAAGGCACAAACTGTTATTTGTTCAGTTTTCAGTTATGGTTTGTCAAAAGCATGTCCTAAAAACGGAAAGGGAAAAAAACCCAATACCAACAACAAACAAGCCTCATCTGAAGCCTCTTATTTTTAAAGATTTTAAGCCCACCAGCAGTAAACAGGTACAGACAGATCTTGCACTTTGCCTGGTAACTTACATGCCAGAATTTTGCAGATTGATGCAAGGGACACAAGAAATTCTGGCAGACTTCTAGAAATTAAACGAGGGCAAAGGTTTTCATGATTGCGAGGAGACCCAACCCAGCACTGACCTAGTAGAGCACCTAGTGCACTCTTACTGACACCTGGCTCTTTATTACCTCTCTGAAGTAAAGCTGATAACAGCATACTTCAGCAGGGGCACTCAGGAGAGGCTCTAAGGGCAAAAGCTTGACCAAGCTGTGACAGAGAAGAATCTGACAGGAGAGCACCAGAAGGAAGGTAGAGGCCAGGAAGTATCAGGAAGCTTTAGGGCAAAAGGGAAGGCAGCTAAAAGGAATATCAACTACTCTGATGGCCTCAGGTAACGATAGGAGTTTAGGACACATATCACTACCTCTATACAATACCACTCTCATGATTTGATTTATATTATATAACTCAAAGTACCTAATGTAATGGGATTTATTGTTTCTCTGGAGTTGCCACACTTCATCTGTCAATATTTAGGAATAAATATCAAATATCTTTTCAATTAAAATAAACACAAAAGCTTGCATTATTTGATCATTTTGCTAAAATAACTGAGTCTTTGTGGGAAAACCTTTGCTGGACAACACTTCATTTTATTTGTATGCCCCCATTAACATAATAAGTATGTGTTTGTATACAATTATATCCAGCTGTGTTTTCTTTTTGTGTTGTTTTTTTAACTGGACTACCATAGTTCAAATAGTGAGATGCCTGTCAGAGTGCTCTGCTGCAAGATTCCCATTTAGTGTGTAGTATATAATTTGCATACTAATACTGTAAATAGTTTTCAAACAGATTTCCTGGAAGACTTGAAATTCTTCTATATGTGTAAATAGAATGCCTATTTCTTTCAGGATTAATATTCTGTATGAGAACAGTTTCCCCTTCGCACACACAGAGGAAAGTCTTGTGACCTTGTTGAAATTATCATACAGCAAGATCATAATTAGCACAAAATTTGGCCCTCGTATGTTTTTAAATGTCTGGATGAAAAACTGTCATACATTTAAAGGAAACTTATTTTTTTTCATCTATCTATTAGCAGGTCCTTATCTCAAAGAACAAATGCCACTGTATTATTTTACATCAAAGGATATGTCAGTCCAGTCATGATAAAATCACTGCTGAGATAAATGGATGATGGTAAGTAATACGAAAAAGCCACATATAGAAGATTTTTTGATCCCTACTTCAATTATTGGATAATAATGTTATCCAGCTTTCTATCGATGCTGTTTAGGAGGCATAATAGGATTCAGCCAATAAACGCAATGGAAGGAGGAAGTCTGGTTTGTAAGGAGAGGAGGTACAAGAACGTACATGTTTGGATCTGGCTATCGCCAACATTTGAAAACAACCATCTGAGAATATGTTTAGTTAAAAATATATCCACTTGGCATTCATATTCTTTTCCTGATAACTGTGGTGACAGTAAATTAATTAATTAAGCCCTTGTAATAGTGCTACAGTGAATTAATTTTATGACACCTGTAGAACTCTTTGGAAAAATTAATTATTTACATAAAATGGCATAGTACCTTTCCATCTGCATAGTGCACATTTCTGAGTATTTGTAGTCTGTTTGCTGAACAAAGTTGCACACTCCAAGGGCCCTTTTTATTGCAGAGCCTCATAGCCCAAATCAAGTGTTATCAATGTGGTTTTTTGTGCAAAAATATCTTTGCTATGATGTATTTGTAATTATAATAAGCATGAAATGCTCAACAGAAAGTAAATTTTTATTTATAATGACATCGGTATAAGTTTTGATGGCTTTTTTTCTTTCTTAAAGAAGATGGAAATTTAACTGAATTTACTTAGGCCAAAATAACCAGAAGTTTTCTTGTATCTGAGACAAATATACCCATGTGTGTGGGAGGGAATAAGCTCATGCATTCCAATAGGCTGGGAACTGTCTTTCTGTATTGCTGCTCGCTAGGAAATGATCTGAAGCTGAACATGAGTCAGCAGTATCTCCTTGCAGCAATGCAGACAAACCACATACGCAGCTGCATTAGTAATAGCTTAGCCAGAAGGCAAAGGAAGTGCTTATTTTTTTCTGCTTAGCATCACGAGGAAATATCTGGAATGACAAGACTGCTTCTGAGCCCCATAAAACACACAATAAATATATTTAAAATGGGAAAGTCCAGTAGAGGAACAGACTTTTTTGTACTTGCAAAAGGGGAGGGCTAACTCTTGTCTTCTGTGCCTAATCAGGGCTTGCAGTGCTAGACCTCTTCTGGAGGTGCACTGTGGAAGAACAGAGGACAGGAGTCTGAGATTGCAGTGAAGGTCAGCTATAAAAAAATATACTTCATACTAAAAGTAAGAGAGGCTGTGGAATGTTTTCAATGTTTTTTTTAACTAAGTGCCTGGACAATCTTATTCAGCTTAGAAGTTAACACTGGTTTGAGCAGGAGGTTGGACTAGAAGACCTCCAGAGGTCTCTCTCAGCCTACATTTCCGTGGTACAGCCTACTCTTCAAAAGCTGCAGGGAGTGAATTTCAAATAATCCACTTTACAGAACACTCCAACCAAGTATTCACGTTGGTGTGAAATTCATCTCCCTGCCTTCCCCACCCCACAAGTGCAGAACAGAAAGACAAGATTGGTATTTGCTTCTCTATTGCTGCCTCTGCCCTCTGGCAGCCCGTGGTGCTCCCTCAACCTGTACAAACAAACCTGGGGCTGATTTAAGGAAACGCAATTTCACAGTCTCTTTAGCTCAAAACATGTAAGTGCTATTTAAAATAATTACCTTATTTCAATATGCACACCCATAAATTCAGAGTTCATTAAAGCAGTAAATATTTAGGCAGATTGATTCACACACCTTATGCATTTTCATTGCGTTTCAGTGTCAATACGCTATGAAACAGATATTTTTATTTGTTTTGCAGGCATTTGCAGGCATTGGCTCACTTGTTAAGTTTCACTGCAAAATACTAAATTGTAATATTCCAGGCTTTCAAAACATAGAGACTATACATTTAAATTATGGACCTGAATACAAACATGACAGATCCTCTCTTCCACTGGAAAAGATAAGGTCAGACACGCAAACATAAACACGAGGGAGAGATTGAAAGCTGTCTTTTACGTTATGTGTAATAGAATGTACCACAAAAAAGTAACCTTAAAATTTGAAATTTCCTGAGTGTCAAATGTTAGTTTTGCCTTCTGAAACAATCTATTCTAATATTTCTGTCATTGCTGCTATTCCTGTCAT